ACTGACTCGTCGAACCGGACGTCACGGGAGTCTAGGAACTGGTGGAGGGGCGGGTGGTAAAAAGACCAGTCGGCCGAGGCTACCGGGAAACCAAGGAAGACACAGGGGACGGCGCGAGCCGAGAGCTTGTCCGCAGAGGTGTCGCGGACAAGCGCAAGGCAGCCCCAGACACGAAAAGCTGACCCAACACCAGGGGACCCGGTCCAAAGACTGGTCGGTGAAGCCTCTGGCCGCGAGACGCGCGGCTGGAGGTTCACCTGGTGAGCGGCGTAGCGAACCGCGTAGGGCCACAGAAAATGGGGCGCACGGGCATGAATCATGGACGTGCGGGCGATGTCCATGACCAAGCCAATGCGGCGCTCAGCAACCCCATTCTGCTGTGGGGACTCTGGCAGCGTCCAGGACTGTACGATGCCCTGCTCGCCGCAGAATCCGGCAAGAATGCCTGAGCGAAACTCACCCCCACGGTCAGAGTGGAGACAGGAGACACGACGGCCACGAGTGCCCTCAGTGGCTAGAAGCCACCGGATCAGCGTAGAAGTCACCTCGGACTTCTTCGCGAGAGGAAACACCGTGGTGTACCTGGAGAAGTCGCCGACGACCACCAGAAAGTAGCGCTCCCTCTCAGGTCCCTGCGTAGGTGCAGGGCCCCAGACATCCAAGTGGAGTGTCTGGAAGGGAGCAGTGGCCGGACGAAGGGAGGAGGAGTGCGGAGTGGCACGAAGACGGCCGGCGACGCAAGGAGTGCACGGCGGCGCAGGCGAGGGAGGGAGCGACGGGAAGACGCGAGGGAGACCTGAGACAAGACGGTGACCAGCCATAGTGCGGAGGCGGGGGATCGACGCGTGGCCAAGACGGTGGTGCCACAAGACGGTCCGGTGGGTGAAAGACCGACACGAGCAAGACGCAACAACTAGACCGGACACAGCAACCTGACCGGACACAGCAACCGGTGGGGACGCAGTAACCTGACCGGACTCTGCTACCGGGGGGGACGAAGCAACCTGACCAGACGCAGCTACCTGCGGGGGCGGAGTGTGCAGGACGAAGAGACCTGAGTGGGGCTCTCTGGTGAACGTGGCAAGAACTGCCCCGGTGGAAGAGTCCGTACAGATCGCAGTCCTCCCGTGCGCAGGAAAAGTGACTGTGATCCCCCGGTCCTGAAGGTATCCAACACCCACCAAGTTCCGAGAGAACGAGGGGATGTAGAGACCAGTGAGGAAACCAGAGGGGACAGCTGGGCACGGGAGGGTGGTCGAGCTGCGAGCAACTGCTGGTCCTGAAGTAGGATCAGCCAGGGCAACTGGGACTGGAGCCGAAAGAGGTGTGACAGTGGTGTGGTCGCGGAAGAAGCACTGAGACGCGCCGGAGTCCAGCGTGAAGGAGAGCGACGCAACAGCAGTCGTCACGGCCGGGCTAGTGACTACACAAGCACCTACACTAAAAGCACAAGTACCGACACTAGCAACAGGCAAAGGTCCTAAGCTAGGTACACGTAAGCCAAGAGATCCGTACGTGACAGAATAAACAGCATCCATAGACATATCAAACACAGGGTAACCACTACGAAACAGACCGGGCCAGATCGGGGGAGCCGACTCAGGCCCAAAACGCTCACGGTAAAGGTCGTCGAGGCGGCTGTAGCAGCGCTGTGCAGAGTGGTCAGGACGCCAGCAGGTAGTGCCAGCGCCAGGGCCGGTCAGGACGACGAGCCCCCCAGCTGGCTGGGCCGCTGCTGCAGCCAACGCGACCTGAACCACCAGGCCCCCATGGCTGCTGAGGGCGCCACAGCTGCTGAGGGCGCCCCTGCTGCTGCGGAAGCCACTGCTGAAACGGCCGCTGCTGCTGTCCCTGCTGCTGGAGAACCCTAGTGGACTCCATGATAAAAGCTAGCGGGGTGCAGGAGCGGCAGGCTAGGAGCGACAGGTGAAACTAGGCGAGGAACGGCTGGAGTACGGAGCAAACTGAGCTACGAGCGAGGAGCGAGAACGGCTGGAGCGAGAACGGCTGGAGCACAACTGGCTGGAGCTAGAAACGGCGAGCTAGGGCTGGCTGGAGGTAGGAACGGCCGGAGCTAGAGACCGTAGGTGCGGCTGTCAGCGGCCGCTAGTAGAGCCACTGGCAGTGGAACGTACGTGCGGCAGTAGGGGCTGCAGTACTGACGGCTGCGGGATGCAGGCAACTGTGCAGGTCGTCCGGCAAGCAGGAACGCGGCCGACAGTTGCAGGCCCCCACCCGAAACCTTTTTTTTTTTTTTTTTTTTAGGGTTTATTTATTTATTTATTTATTTATTTTCTGGCGCTAAAGCGCTCCGGGGCGCGCTGCCTGCAGGGTGTGCTGCCTGCGGGGCGCGCTACCCGCGGGGCGCGCTGCCTGCGGGGCTGGGGCGACGGGCCAGGGCGCGGGCTGGGGCGACGGGCTAAAGCGGGCGCCTGGGCGACGGGCTAGGGCGGGCGCCTGGGCGACGGGCTAGGGCGCGGGCCTGGGCGACGGGCTAGGGCGGGCGCCTGGGCGACGGGCTAGGGCGGGCGCCTGGGCGACGGGCTAGGGCGGGCGCCTGGGCGACGGGCTAGGGCGGGCGCCTGGGCGACGGGCTAGGGCGGGCGCCTGGGCGACGGGCTAGGGCGGGCGCCTGGGCGTCGGGCTAGGGCGGGCGCCTGGGCGTCGGGCTAGGGCGGGCGCCTGGGCGACGGGCTAGGGGCGCAGGCTAGGGGCGCTGAGGGCTCTAACGCGCGGAGGAGGAGGGCGCTAAGGCGCGGAGATGGCGCGGAGGGCGCGGAGGGCGCGGAGGCTAAGGCGCGGAGGGCGCGGAGGGCGCGGAGGGCGCGGAGGGCGCGGAGGGCGCAAGGGTGCGGAGGGCGCAAGGGTGCGGAGGGCGCTAGGGCGCTAGCTAGGCTAGGCGAGAGGATCGACACATACTCATGATACCATCTCAAAGTTAGCGAACAACGGAATGTGTGAACTAGGGAAACAAGGGATACAAATAGCAACCCTAAAAGTGTTGTACTCCCTAGAGTGCTACTCACTGTAGCCTAAGAACCTATAATAACATTTGACACGAAGCTAGCGTGGTAATGGTAACGCGGGAAATTGGGGTGCGCTACGGGCCTAGCGCCGAGGTTGGGAAATGTCGAGGCGGAGGTCCGGAGCGCGGGTTACCAACCGAGCCGTGAGGTTGGGTCGCGGCGTGAACAGTGGCGGGAACAGTGGTCGGGGCGAATGTCGCGAATGGTAACGGTGCACTGTTGGGTACTGTTGGCGTGAATAGTCGTGTACGCAAGGATGCGGAGTAAGGAAAAGGAAATTTCCTTACACAATTGCACTAGTATAGCTTGTTATACACTTGTTCAGTATTTAGAATCGACCTCCCTTTACTTCAGCTTGTACTATTGCATTTTGTATCTTGGATTTCGCCTGACTGATGTGCATCGGAGGTGTCAAGATGAGCCGCCAGGGCCAAGATGTGCATCGGAGGTTTCCCCAGACCAGACATTCCAGATCGACATGGCCTTGGCCTTCATCCCTTCACCGACCATCCAGCGGCTCTTGGTCAACGCCACATCAGATGCCACAGTTTGTGCATGACATTATGGTCAGTTCACCCATTCCCGGTTTTGCAATGGGGATGCCAGTGGCTCTCCATTTAAAAATACACGTAAGAGTTTCTTCATTTCCAGTCATTTCCTTGTCTAAGTAAGAGCGTTCTCGGAGTACATGCAAGCACTGTTGCCACCTACCCGTTCTTCCGACAACAATTTCCGCTCATACATGGTCGCGGGCTACATCTGCGTGCACAAGGTGTTTGGAGGGACTACATAAATTGTTCTGGGTGCCTTTCCGCGAATACAAAACCCCATTGTCATTGAAACGAAGGGGATACAATACAGTACAATACGCGTGAATTTCACTGCGCTTGCACAACCAAGCCCACTCGTTATCGCCACCCAGTTACCGGGCACTGTAGTACCCCTGAACAACTGCTTTCCAGTGGCCGTGTAGCCCTCGACCAATCACCATCACCCAGGGTGGGTAGACTAGACAGCAAGGTGGACGAGTCGCGTGAGCCCGTCTACTTAAGTACACTCATTATCCCTTTTGAAAACCCAATGAAAGAATTGAGACTGTTCTGAATAATGGCGAAATAGGACTCCTTCCGGAAAAGCTTGACTCTTCTTGTCACCAACTCAGTTTGTACTTGAGCTTTGTCAACACTTTCAGATAAGTTGGATGTTCCACGCCCTAAGGAATATGCAGATGGCGGGAGTCAACGATGCTGTACCACATGGCCGTTCTCTATGATTGGAGTCGAAAGAAACAATTGGAATATTGAGACTCAAAATAAACATTTCCAATCGAGAATAATTTGTGTGGTTGGTGGGAAGACCAGTTTTTGCGTTGCTCGGTGCGCTCTTCTTTCCACTACGCTGTGCTTGCATCTGCGCTCTGCTTGGTTGCCCTGCGGCCGCCCTTTGCCCTGGCTTGGGCGGATCAGATCACTCTATTGAAAACAAGGCAATTCGAGGACCAGAAGACCACAGTTTCTTTCGTCATCACCATTGCATTCCATTGGCAGGCAACAGAACAGAACCACCACAACCACCGCCACGCCATCGCCACCACTACGGTACCATCGCTACCGTCACCATTGACATCAACACCGTCCCCAACCCAACCTTGCGCTCCTTGTCCCACCCTTGTTCTCTGTGGCTGCTTGTCGCCAATCCATCGATCCCGCGTCCTCCAGTCTAGAATGCTAGTGTCGACTTCCCTCGGCATCACGCAATTCTGGTTTCTTGGTGTTTCTTTCGTCAGCTCCTGGGCTTCCAGCCACCATTGATTTTTTTCCACGACACGTCGTTGCAACTCGTCATTCATTTTAAGGCTAGCAGTGTCACATTGCATACCGTGAATGCCGCGGCGTCTCGTCACAAATCCTCCTTCCCTTCACCACCTGGCGCATCATAGCAGCCATGGCGGTTGTATCACCATGGCGCCGCGCGATGCTGCCCACAGTGGTTCTTCTACTCTCCTCAGTCGCCCTCGCTCTCTCCCTCCAAGGTATCCCATTGTCAGCGCGCTAAACGGCTCGCTCCTGATGCTCTCAACGCCTGCGATCTTTAGCGAACCTTCGGGAGCACGCGATAGTGCGTAGTGATACCGAATTGGCGATTTACCGCGGCGAATCTGAACCGAGCATAACCTATCCAAATCGAAGTGAGGGGAGGCTGGGAGAGAGGCTGGGAGAGTGCCTCGCGGAATTGCCGCTGCTTTGGCGCGCGCTGAGTGCGTTCCTCCCGTAAATATTCGCATGTTGTCTTCCGTTGTCCCACCTCTCACGCCCTAACGATACACTTCTTTCCACCGTTTTCCCCGTGTTTTCTTCCCTCCCCCGTCCCCCATCCCTCCCCCCGCCCGCACCCCCCATCCCCCTTCCTCCGTTACCGATCTTCACCGGTTAACTAACTCCCGGCGGCGGCTGCTAGTCCCCGAGCCAGCAGCTGGTTCCTCCCTCTACGTAATTCAATTACGCTCCGCGCCTGCCGTTGCCGTTTATAATGGCGGGATTCCCGGGTTCCCTGGCACCGCCGCCGTCCAAAACGCCGCATCTCACGTCGCGAATGCTGCCGGCCGCCTGTTTTCGCGGCGGCCGCGGGTGAACCTGAAGATGCCGCATGTGCGCGCGTTTGCGGGGATGCTGAAACGGCAACAGCAGAGGGTGGCGCGGGATTTGGGGATCGGCGCGAGGCGCCTATTGTACAGGTGCGCACGCGCGGAGAGCAAGCTGTGCGCGCTCCCTACTCGTCTTCCCAGTTGCCTCCCGCTCGCCTCCCCGACTCGCCTCCCCACTTTCCGCGCTCTTGCTTGCTCGTGTGCTGTAGCGCACGTGCCGAACCCTGACCTTTCCTTCATTCTTTCTCTCGTGATTTCGCTCGCTCTCTCCACAGCTACACGCACGTGGCGAACGGATTCGCGGCGGAGCTGACGGCGGGGGAGGCGCGGCGGATGCGGCGCCACCCCGCCGTGGGCAGCGTGACGCGCAGCGGGCGCTTCCGCCTGCTCACGACCGCGTCGCCCGCGTTCCTGCAGCTGCCGCCGTCGCTGTGGGCCGCGGCGGGCGGGCAGAGCAGCGCGGGCGAGGACGTGGTGGTTGGCGTCGTGGACACCGGCATCTGGCCCGAACACAAGTCCTTCGCTAACGACGTGCGCAAGCCCTCTCCCCCCTCCTACCTCCTCCCCGCTCTCCCCCTCCTTCCGCGCTTTCCCTCCCACGCTCTCGCTTCTTTCCCCGCAATCTCCGTCCACCTCTCCTCAACAATACCCCACCTCATCCCCCCTTTCCTCTTTCTCCGCTCCCCATCCCCCTTCGGTGCCCCGCCTGTCCTCCCCAAACAGTCTTCCTCCGCGTCGTTCCTCTACGATAGCGCGCCAGAGGGGTGGCAGGGGTCGTGTAGGAAGAGCGCGGACTTCCCCGCGTCCGCGTGCAACGGCAAGATCGTGGGCGCACAGGTGTTCTACGCGGGCTTCAAGCGCGACTCGCGCGACCGCATGGACTTCACCAAGGACTGGCTCTCGCCGCGCGACGCCGACGGCCACGGCACGTGGTGCTCGGGGTGCGTGCGGTGCGGGGAAACGTGGAAGGGGAGAAAAGGAGGGGGAGGGCTTGGGGATCCTCCGGGGGGAATGCGGATACGGATTGAGAGGAATACTTGCGGAGAGCAGTGGGGTGGGGGAGGGTGGGGCCGGCCGGATAGCGTGCGGGGAGGTGGGTCGGGGTTATGAATAGCCCGCTCTTGTCCCTCCATGTCCCTGCTCCCACCACTTAACAACCGCCTCTGTTCCCTTCCCCCTCCGGCCCTTTTTCCGCTGTCCCTCCCCCCCCCCCTCTCCCCCTCCCCGCTCTCAGCGCATCAACCGGGAATGGCAACGTGCAGACGAACACGCTGGGCCCAATCAGCGGCATGGCGCCGCGCGCGCGGCTAGCAATGTACAAGGTGTTTTGGAAGCAGCGCGGCGGGTACATGTACGCCACGTACGCGGACATCTTCGCCGCCGTCAACCGCGCCGTGGCCGACGGCGTGGACGTGCTCAGCCTGTCGCTGGGTGGGTCGGACGACTCGGCAACTTACTTTGACGACTCCACCTTCATCAATGTCCACGCGGTGCGTCGCACGGCCGCCTGGACGGTTTCTGGGACGGTCGCGGGGGCGGCTGCTTGGACGGCTGCCCAAAATGCCGCTTGGACGGCTAGTGAGACGGCTCCTTGGACGGCCGCTTGGATGGTCACTGGGTTGGCTGCTTGGATGGTTACTGCGCGAGTGTGAGGGTACTATCATGTGTGCCAGTACGGAATCCGTGCTTGAATTTGTCCTGCTCGCGCTGCATCTCGCTACCAGCTGTCCACGCAAACCAAGCCATACCCCGCTCCGTGCCCTCGGCTACCAGCTTTTCTCCTCTCGTTCTCTCACAAATCTCTACCACTCAGTCCCACTCACCGACACCTCTCCTCCCTCACCATGCTGCCTCCTTCCTTCTCCCCGTGCAGGCGGGTGTGGTGGTGGCTTTCGCGGCGGGCAACACGGGCAGTCCGTGGCGAGTGGGCATGGGGTACCGCACTCTGGATAACTTTTCCCCGTGGTACATCACCGTTGGCGCCAGGTGCGTGCGTCTCACACCGCATCCGCGGGTTGCCTGCCTGCTCGCCGTTGCGCCTTCTCTCTGCTGTTCACTGCCCGATTTTCTCTCTCCGACCCCCGTTTTCCGCCCCTCGCACTCGCTTCTTGCCCTGCATCCTCCGCCGGCCACTCGTCCTTCTCTGCCATTCAGCTTCACATTGCATGCATGACGTTTGCCTTGCCTGCTTGGCTCTTGCCTTATTTCTCTTTCTGACCGCCTTCTCACCTTGCTCGTGTGACTGATTGCGCTCTTGTCGCCTACTCTGGCGTGCTTGCGTGCATGCTTGTTTGCCTGCTTGCTTCTTGCCTTTTCCTGCACCAATGCTCCTCTCCCAACAGCACGATCAGCCGATTCTCAACGATGACACCAGCATCGTCGTCGTCATCATCATCGCCAATCAAGCCGACAGAAACAGCAACATCGCCCAGCGAAGCACCAATAGTGGCGGGTTTCTCATCCACGGGTCCTCTCGTCCCTGCGGTGTACAACCCCAATGCCCCAAAACCCACCAACGACATCCTCAAGCCCGACATCCTCGCTCCGGGTGTGTCTCTCTGGGCGGCTACTGCTGGGTCGTCTTTGACCGACACCACGAGTTGGTACGCGCGGCTCTCGGGAACGTCTATGGCCACGCCTCACATCGCGGGGATTGCTGCACTGCTCGTGCAGCGAAACCCTGACTGGACTCCCGCCCAGATCATTTCCGCAATGATGACGACTGCTACAGTGCGTAACAACAAGGGCTCGCTAATACGGAACTCCAATGGGGATATCGCGACACCCTGGGAGACGGGCGCGGGGCATGTGAATCCGATGAAGCTTCTGGATCCTGGGTTGACCTATGATGCCACCGAGACGGATTTCCGGAATTTTCTTGCTGGGCAGGCTATGACCCGAGCGAAGAAATTGTTCAAAGGGATTGCCTTGCAGTCCATCAAGGCTTTCAACCTCAATAGGCCTTCGATTGCTGTGGGAAGGCTTGCTGGTACAGTAACAGTTCAGCGGCGTGTTACAAATGTGGCTGATACAGCGTCGACATACACAGCAGCTGTTGCTGGTATGGATGGGGTCTCGGTCACAGTGAAACCGCCCAGTTTCACTATAGAGCCGGGTAAAACAGTGAGTTACAATGTTACGCTCACTGCTCTGCGCTCATCGTTAACGTATTCATATGGGAGCCTCACATGGACGGATGAGCTGGGGCACTCTGTGAGGTCACCACTGGTTGTGCAGCCAATAAGGAGATGAGTGGTGGCGTGACGGGAAGGGACCAGCTGGAGGTGGTGTGGGGTGACACGGAAAAGGGGATGGGAGGGGAGCTGAGGGTTCAATGGTGGTGACACAGCAATGGTGAGGAGTAAGGCTGGCAATAAGAACCTGGTCACATTGACGGAAGTTGGGGCTGGTTGGGTGAGGTTGATGAGTCGTAGAATGCAGCATGGTGGGTTCCTGGTTTTCGTGTAGCTGCTGATTGGTGCCTGATAGTCACAGGCTCTGTGACTCTGGCTGTAAGTGTTGCTGCTTGTGTTGCTACGACAAGTTGTTTTGTCGTAATCAGTTAAGCCAGTTATACTATGATGCAGTGCATTGAAGTGTAATCAGCAGCTCTGATATAGTGCACCATTATGCTGTACTAGCTTGTACAAAGGTCGAGATGCTGGGCACCCTTGCAGCAGATTGTTTGCAAAACCTAAGCACTTGACATAACCTGCTGGGAGCACTGTGATCCGATGCCTAAGAATGTTCACCCTCGCACTGAAATTGCTACAGTAGGACCTATAAACATGTAGAGAGAGAGAACATAAAGCAGCCGCTCCTTAGATTGGAGAATACCGTACATACCACCACTTCTGTAGTCTAAATTCTGCTCCAGGACACAGAATCACAGAAACCTCACTGACCCCCCCACCCACTCAGGCCTCCCATGCTCCTTCCTGGCCCATCCTATCCCATACACCCATGATCCCATCCCATCCCATCCCATCCCATACCATCCCATCCCATCCCATTCCATACCATCCCATCTCATCCCATGCCATTCCTCAACCTTCATCTGCCTGGCCTTCCACTGCCTTCCTTGTTTCCTCCCCACTGTCATCCTCTCGTGGCCTCTTCACACCCTGCTGCTGTGACCCACCTCTCTCTGCTGCCTCCTCGCTCTCTTCCACTTGCTGCTGCTGCTGCTGTAGCAGCTCCCCCGTCCCTACTTCTGCTGCACCAGCAACCCATACCTGTGCCACACTTCCGTTCTCTCCAGCCTGCCTGCCAGCTTCCATATTTGCAGACTCAGTATGAGCGCTCTGCTTACCATCGGCTTCCAGATTGTCTGCATTAGCCTTGGTGCCTCCCAAGTCTGGTGCGCATGCACGTGCATCACGCTCCCTTGCCACACCAGCATCACCAGCATCACCAGCATCACCAGCATCACCCTCCCCTGTAGCAGCTGCACTGTTCCCCACTGCAGCAGCTGCATTCTCACCGGCAACAGCAGCATCACCCTTGCCCACAGCAGCATCCTGGGACCCCTCACAAGCATTCATGGATGCAGCACAAGTGTGTGGAATGCTTGCAGGTGGTGGCGGTGCTGCTCGTGCCGCTGCAGGTGCTGCTGCTGGTGCTGCTGCTTCGTCATCCAGCTTTGGATGGCTGGCGTGCATATGAGTAGAGGGAGCAGCAGCATCGGCAACAGTGACAGAAGCGTCAGCACCAGTCAAACCAGCATTTGCAGGTTTCCCATCAGCAGCAGATGCAGCAGCAGCCGTCACATCAGAATCAGTGGCACACGCAGTGGCAGGAGGGGCTGCACTGGCATCACTGGGTGAAAGAGCAGCAGGGGCCTGAGAGGGGGAAGCAGGTGCTGTGGCATCTGTGACTGGTGTGAGAGGTGTGGAGTCATGCGGTGTAGTGGGTGGTACAGTGCCAGCAAGAGGAGCAGGAAGATTAGAAGGAACAGGGGATGCAATTGCAGTAGTGGAAGGAGGCATGGAAGGAAGAGCTGCAGCAGGAGTGGCATTATCCCCAGCAGCAGTAGTGAATGCAGGAGGAGCAGCAGCAGGGGCAGGATCAGCGGTAGCAGGGGCAGGAGAGACAGCAGGCGTGGCAGGATCTACAGATGAAATTACAGGGACAAAACCAGCAGTAGGAGGGGCAACAGCTGCAAGGGCAGGAGAAACAGCAGCAGCGTCCGCAGGAGCAGCAGCAGCAGTTCCAGGGGCAACAGCAGCGGTGGCAGGCGAAACAGTAGCAGCAGTGTCGGCAAGAGCAGCAGCAATAGTAGCAGGGGCAACAACGGCAGGTGTGGCAGCGGCAGCAGCAGCAATTGCAGGGGCAGCAGCAGCAGGGGCGGGAGCAGCAGCAGCAGCAGCAGCAGCAGCAGCAGCAGCAGCAGCAGCAGCAGCAGCAGCAGCAGCAGCAGCAGCAGCAGCAGCAGCAGCAGCAGCAGCAGCAGCAGCAGCAGTGGCAGCAGCTGTTGGTCGAGCAGTGTCAGTGGCAGCAACAGGGGGCAGAGGCGGTGGAGGCAGGTGCTTGAGAGGATGGAGCGGATGCAGGGAGTCCCGCACGTGGGCTGGTAGGTCTGCTCACAGGAGTGGCGGGAGGGATGGGTGGTGGGAGGGATGGTGACCACACGGGGAGGTGGCGCAAGGGGAGGCGGCACAAAGGGACAGAACGAGGGAGGTGGAATGAAAGCACAGAGGGAATTGACCACTGTAACAGCAGTGAGCGAGGCACAGCGGCATGCACTTGCGTGAGCGGAGCACACAGCGCGTCAATAGTCACGAGAGCACACAGCGCGTCAATAGTCACGAGAGCACACAGCGCGTCAATAGTCACGAGAGCACACATGCCCCCCCTGGGACATAATAGAGCTCGTCCTGAAGGGAGTCAGCACGCAGTGTATCGAACCAAAGGGACAGTTCTGAAATCAGCCAAAACAATCAGCAGGCACTCGAGTGCGAGTGCGAGTGCGAGTGCGAGTGCGAGTGGGTTGGAACTTGGAAGGGTGGCTGGCTGGCTGGCACCGTGGCCCATGTTTCAGTTCAGTCCCCACCATTTTGCCACAGAAACATGGAACGAGCATGGCGCACGGGCGATGGGAAGAGGGGCGAGGGTGGGTGGGTGGGTGAGCGCATGCAGCAGGAGTGGGGTGAGTGTGGGGTTGAGTACCCGGGGGCAGCATGGGGGTGCCGAGGTCGGTGCCAGTGAAGGTGACGACGGTGCAGTAGCCGTCCTGTGACGCCACCACCAGACACCGCCCGTCCGGTGCCCTGCCCTCACGGTCGCCATACCATGTGTAGGAGGGGAGGGGAGTGGAGGAAAAGGGAGGGGAGGGGAGGGGAGGGGAGAAGAGAGGAGGAAGAGGGGGGGGGGGGGGGGGGGGGAGAGGGGAGGGGAGGGGAGGGGAAGAGAGGGGAGGGGAGGGGAAGGGAGGAGATTTAGGAACGCAGATGGTAGGGGGGAGAAAGAGGCACATGGCACGCAGGCGAGGCAGCAGTAGGAGATCCCAGCCGTTACCCACCTTCCTCTAGTGCCCGCCCAATGTCCCCTCTCCTTGCCCCCTTCTCTCCCACCACACCACCGCAGGGGCACTGCATCGGTGCTGCATGCGCCCTGCATGTGCCCTGCAAGCACCCTTTTCTCGGCGCTCACCATGCGAGGTCCGTGATGGCAGCATAATGCAGGCCTCCAAGCAGCGCAAGGGGGCGTGGCGTGACATTGTGCTGCATACATGCTGTATGTGCGCTAGTGAGAAGAAGAACAAGAAGACAGCATGTGCGCTCGCGAGTCGACAGAAAACTGCATGCGCGCTCACCATGCGAGGTCCGTGATGGCAGCATAATGCAGGCCTCCGAGCAGGGCGAGGGGGCGCGGCGTGGCAGTGTCGTAGAGACACACTGAGTTGGTGGACGCCACAGCATACACCATGCGGTATGGCAGTGACACGGGTAGAGGCGAGGGGGAGGCGGAGGAGGAGGAGGCGGGGGACGGTGGTGTGTTCTGCTGCTGCTGGTGCCGGTCTGATGTGAGTGGGAATAGCAGGGGAACAAATTCGGAATGGGGATGCAGTGAGAGTGGGAAAGAATGAAGAGGGGGTAGGAGAGATAGGAGATACGTGGAAGTGTCGTACAGGCACACAGAGTTGGTGGATGCCACGGCATACACCATGCGGTATGGCAGTGACACGGGTAGCGGGGAGGGGGACGCGGAGGAGGCGGAGGTGGTGGTGGGGGCTGGGTGTGGTGGTGGTGTGGCCTGCTGTTGCTGGTGCTGGTCTGGTGTGAGTGGGGAGGACGGGGGAGCATGTTAGGAATGGGGATGGAGGGGGAAAGATTGGGGATGAAGGGAAGAATGAAGAGCGAGTGCTTCCAAGAACAGGTAGTGAGACGAAGTCGAGAAGGAAAGAGAAGGAAACCGGAAGAGAAATACAAACAAAAAAGAACGTTGAGGAGGAGAGGGTTACGTTTGAGGCGCCTCAAAAGTCGTTGAGGAGGAGAGGGTGACGGGGAAAAGGAGATACTATGCTACGCAGGAAGGAGGAGATGGCGAGAGAAGAAGAGACCGAGAGACAGGGAAGAAAAGTATGTTCACAGTAACAAAATCGGAAGCTCTGGATAGCACACGCTCCCCACCCCAGCCACACTCCTTTTATTTTACCTTGTTGCGCATCCTCTTTGTCCCCAGCAGCAGCAGCAGCAGCAGCAGCAGTGGGTGGTGCGGCATCAGGAACATGTGGAGGCAGGGCGAGTGCAGGCGAGTGGGCGGGCGGGGAGGGGTGGAAGAAGAGGGGGCAGAAGCGCACTGCCACTAGCGGCTTGTTGAGCGAGGGGAGGTGCATGACGGGCCTGTGGGCATGGGATAGGTGCATGACACGAGATGAGAGGAGCAGCTTTTGTTAAGGGGAGGGACGGGGGAAAAGGTAGCGGGTCACAAGCAAGAATGGTGGGCGGGTGTGTGGTGGGGCTGGGGAGCAAAGGGTGGAAGAGGTGCGGGCTGCGGACAAGGGGAGGGGTGGAAAGGAAGACGAGGTGGTTATGTGAAGGTGAGACAAGGGGAGGGAGCGATGATGAAAGTGGTTGGGTGCGTGATGTGCCAGGTGTGCTGGTGGCCAAGACGAGCGGAGGGGAGGAGGTACAAGGAAATTTCGGGTAGGGAAGGAGAGGGAAGGCGGGAGGGGGAGGAGGCGATATGAGAGGCGGCAGATGCATGAGAGGCCAGGGTTGCGTACGATTGAGCAAAGGGGAGGGTATGGGGAGACGAATTTAGTGTGGAAGAACAGGGAAGAGAAAGACGAGAAGCGAGGGGAGTGATGGTATGAGGGGAGAAGGAATTAGGGGTTTGATGTAGGGTTGAAGAATGTAGAGGGCAGACCAGCAGGGAGACAGGAGCAGAGGTGAGGTTAATGAGAGAGGGAAACAACAAGAAAGGAGTGAGATAGAGTGAAACTTGGGAGTAAGGGGCCACGTGATATAGAGGGGACAGGAGCGAGTATGCACATGCGGCCTGCAATTCCGCTTAGAGGTATTTTTAGCCAGTGCTAGTGGTACCCCCCCCGCGAGACTGTGGAACATGTGGTGGAAGAAGAGACTCTCAAGTCGACAAAAGAAAACTGGGAGAAGTGTTGAGGATCCTCAAAAGAGCGAGCAGTACTTGGTGAGGTCGGATCGAGAGAAGACGTAGCACGTGTTGGTGGGCGGGGCGCACGGCGACGCCTTCCATACCCCTGCATGCATGCATGGACGTGCAGAGATGAGGGGAGATGAGGGGAGATGAGGCGAGATGGCATGGCATGGCATGAAATTCCTTTTGCAAACAGACACACAAGGCACACGCAAATTCCTGTCCTCGTATGCACCCTCGCTCACACATGCATGCCGATGCACCCACACCCAACCATACCCACCCAAACCCACCCATCCACCCACACCGTACCCACAGAGACACACACACATGACCACAGACGAACACAAGCAAATTCAGCGAACTTAGTAAGAAGAAAGGGAAGAAAGAAGTAAGGGCAGACGGAGGGGGGGCGAGGGGCGGAAGGGAAAAGTGTCCTAAGGCCCGGCCCGGAGGGGAACGGGGTGACGGAGGGGGGGAAGGTGATGCCAAGTGCGGTGAAGACAGTATTGAGACTTTTCATACATTAATGAGAACAAGGTGACTTTAGAGTCGACTCAAAAGTCACCTCTTTTCATACATTGATGAGGAAAAATGGGAAGGCCACTCGTGCACAAGCAACGCATAGCTTGATTAAACAGAGGCGGCGAGGGGGGGAGACACAGGACAGACAAGGAGAGGCAATGGGGGGCGCGGAGTGGCAAGGGGAGGAGGGAGCGAGAGGAGGCGGACCGGCAGGGATGACGAGCATGGCACCATCGGGCGACCAGGCGAGGCGGCGGAAGAAAGAGGGCATGTTCTCATCGTGGAACAGATGCACCCGCACTGCCTGGGGGGATGGGCGGGCGAGAGGGAATGGGGAGATGGGCGAGCGAGAGGGAATGGGGAGATGGGCGAGCGAGAGGGAATGGGGAGATGGGCGAGCGAGAGGGAATGGGGAGATGGGCGAGCGAGAGGGAATGGGGAGATGGGCGAGCGAGAGGGAATGGGGAGATGGGCGAGCGAGAGGGAATGGGGAGATGGGCGAGCGAGAGGGAATGGGGAGATGGGCGAGCGAGAGGGAATGGGGAGATGGGCGAGCGAGAGGGAATGGGGAGATGGGCGAGCGAGAGGGAATGGGGAGATGGGCGAGCGAGAGGGAATGGGGAGATGGGCGAGCGAGAGGGAATGGGGAGATGGGCGAGCGAGAGGGAATGGGGAGATGGGCGAGCGAGAGGGAATGGGGAGATGGGCGAGCGAGAGGGAATGGGGAGATGGGCGAGCGAGAGAAGGGAGAGGGAGTGCTGGAGAAGGAGCTTAGAGGGAGTGGCTGTGCCCATGAGGGAGCGTGCTTGTGCGTGCATGCATGTGTGCGTGTCTGGGTGTGAGTATGTGCTTGCCTCGCTGTGTGACCGTATGCATGCATGCAAGGCTGTGTGCTTTTCCTTACCTATCTCGACCCGCACAGCCTGGCGGGAGGGAGGGGCAAGCGAAAGGGGAGGGGGGAGGGAGAGTGTAACTGTGTGACCGTATGCATGCAAGGCTGTGTCCTCCTCTATGCCTGTGCCTTCACCATCACAGTTTGTTGCACCACATCCCACCTAGAAAGACAAGCCTTCACCCACCTTGCTAGGGCCTTCTGCCTTTGTCCCATTCTCCACCTCCGTTGCCTCTCCTCCCCCCCCTCTCCTTTCTGCCTCGACAGCTGCACCCACTGCGTCCGCCCCTCTCTCTTTCCCACCCTCTGCTTCGCCTCCCCCTCCCCCTCCTCTTCCCCCACCGTTTGCCTCCCCCGCAACCCCATCCTCCCCCCCTGCAACAGCAATCGCAGCAGCAGCAGCAGCGGGAACGTCCCGTTTTTGAATCACATGCACACACCGCACCACACCCGCTGCCTTCTGCTGCTTCCCGCCCCCTCCACCTCCCTTCGCACCGCCTCCCCCTGCTCCTGCCGCAACCCCAACACCCCCACCCCCACCACCAGCAGCAGCGGCGGCGGTGGTGGGAGGGGGCGAGGGGAGGGAGTAGACGCGGCAGGTGCGGTCGCCGCTGCAGGTGACGAGGAAGCGGGAGAGTGGGTCCCAGGCCACGCCCTGCACATAGTGCACGTGGTCCTTGAGAAACGCCTCTGGCACCCCTGATGGACACACGAGGGGGAGCGGGGGGTGAGGGGATAAGAAAATGAGGGGTTGAGAATTTGGGGTGTAGAGGGGATGAGGGATTAAGAGGTTGAGGGCCTGAGGGGTTGAGACCGCGATTTTGGCGGGATGAGGGGATGGTATGCGGAAAGGTGGAGGGCTTCAAGAAAGGCCACAAGCGAGAGAGGAACTCGGAGATACCGTGTAAAAGAATGCATGGTAGAACAGGCTCTACAGAGGACTGGGAAGGCGTGATGAGGAGGGTTGATGTGTAAGAAAGTGGGAGGAGGAGGGAGGGGGAAGGAGAGGATTGACCTCGGGCGAGGTTCCAGACGATGGCCGAGTTATCCACTGAGCCCGATGCTAGCAACAGCCCGTCCGGCGACCACGAGAGGTCCAACACGTCCCTCTCGTGGCGACTGCACGGGTGCACAGCGGTGCGGAGGGGAGGGGAGGCGTGCCGGGAGGAAGGAGACAACACGAGGAGGACGAGGAGAAATAAGATATAAGGGGAGAATAAAAGGAGAGATTAGGGATATATGGGGGCGAGAAAATGGATGGGGATGGGAATGGGGATGGGGATGGGGATGGGGATGGGGATGGGCATGGGGATGGGGATGGGGATGGGGGTGGGGATGGGGATGGGGACGCGGATGGGGGTTGAATAGAGCAGCACAGATGGTGGGAAGGGAGAGCGAAAAACGTGAGAGGGGCTATGGAAAGCGAGCAAACGATTTTGCGTGTGAGCAAGAGTGTTACAGAGAGAAAGGGTGTGAGGTTGTGTTCGGGCAGGGCAGCACCTGAGAGCTCGGAAGACCTTCCAAATGGCACCATTGGGCGTCTGTACCTGCCTCCACAGCACTATCTCCCCCCCTGATGGTGACACACACACACGCAGACGGACAGGCAGGTGGTTTTCGAAAATTCTAAAAAACCGGATACACACACATGCATGCACACACATGTACCCCACCCACAGATAAATGCGCCCATACTCACACGCTCCCACACACTCAGCACAAGGCGGCTTTGAGAGCCCCACGAATGCACCCCTCTCCTTTCCCAACGCACACACCCCCTCCCCTCCCCCTCTCCCCCCTCCCTCTCCCCCCACCTCCCCCTCTCCCCCCACCTCCCCCGCACCCACACACACACATGGACCAGTGTTATTCGTTCCATTCTATTCCTGAGGGGCAGGAAGGCAATGAAGTGGCTCAAAACAAGTGCTTTAGAACAGTGCGAGCGAGCAGAGGAGCAGAAGAGATGCCGAGAAACGATGCGTGGTAGAGGATGTGAGTGGGCGGAGGGATGTGTGGGAGGATGAAAAACTTACCGTCTGCTCCTGACGCAAGAACGTCTCCTGAGAGGATGATGGAAAACACAGAGAGAAGAAAACAAAGCGGGAGTATATTTCTGAGTCGACTCAAGAATACAGCGAGAGAAACAGAGCGGGAGACAGAGGACGAGATAGCCATAGCGAGAGTGCAGCGGCCACAATGAGGAGCAGGTGCAGAAGGAGGAGCCATGCCATCAAGGACACACAAACACACACAAAACACACGTGCAAACATGTACAGACACACATCTCACAAGTACAAACGCACCGCTACAAACATGCACAGGTCGCCAGGCAATCAGGCAGGCGGGCGGGGGGCGGGCAGGCGGGCGGGCAGGCAGGCAGGCGGGGAATAGTATACATCACCGGAGTTGCAAAGTTACAGAAGAAGCAACAGGTGAGAGCGAGCGTGCATGCACGTGCGCACCGGAGGGGGAGAAGCGCAGGGCGTTGACGGCGTAGTTGTGGTGCGCCAGTGCCGCCACAAACTCCACTGTCGCCTCGCCCGCCGCGTCCGACGCCACTCGCCACAGCTGCGCTCGCACGGGCACGCGATGGGGAGGTGTGGTTGGGAGGGGACAGGGCAGGACAGAGAGCGGAAGGGAGGGGAGGGGAGGGAAGGGGAGGGGATGGGAGGGGATGGGAGGGGAGGGGAGGGGAGGGGAAGGGAAGGGAGGAGGGGATGGGACGGGAGGGGAGGGGATGGGAGGGGAGGGGAAGGGAGGAGGGGAGGGGAGGGGAGGGGAGGGGAGGGGGAGGGGATGTGAGGGGGGGGATGGGAGGGGAGGGGAGAAGCGGGGAGGGGAAGGGGGAGATGTTGGATGAGGTGGCTTTAAAATCGATTCACAAAATCTTACCCACTCTCTCCCAGACTCCCTCACAACTACTCACTCACCTCACCCACACCTACCCAAAATCCCCTTGTCCTCGCACCATGGGTCCCCAGATCAAGCCCCCTCCTGCCCGCACCGAACACGCCTGACGTCCCGACTCCCCACTTATCTTTGCTTTCAGCAAACGTCTCATTTCTTCCAATCCCTCTCCCCCCTATTCCCTCTCCCACCCACCTTTCCCATTCTCCCCGCCTTCCCCCTCACCACGAGCCTCCTCACCCCTTCTCGCGCCGCACCTTAATCTCCTTATCCGCGCCGCCAGTCGCGAGCACGCCCGACGGGTGGAAGTCCGCGGACAGCACGGGCTCGCGCCCGTGCCACAGCACCTGCACCGTCTTCACGCGCATCCTCGCCACCTGACGTCCGTCAGCCTCCGTCAACGTCAGCCTCCGTCAACCTCCGTCAACCTCCGTCAGCCTCCGTCAGTCTCCGTCAGCCTCTGTTAGCACCCGTCAGTCCGTGGATTCGTACACCTGCGTCAGCTACCGTCGTCGGTCTCGACTCTCGCTCTCTCTCAAACAACTTCCGTCGTCGTCGATGTAGCCAAGATCGGCCACCGTTCACGCGGTGTAATTTCGAGGTTACGTGACACAATGAGTCCTGCGGTTACAGCAGCGGCCGATTCACTCGCAAAACACAAACGCACGCCGTCGTCGGCACGAAGCTCCGACGCAAGTTCTGGCTAGCGTTTGCCGGCAAACCCGGACCTGGCGAAATTAGTCATCATGCTCCCCAACCCACACAGGCTTTCGCGCACCGGATCGCGCATCCCAACCCTTGCAGCTTTCCATAAAGTACTGTAGCATACTTCAGTTCGCGGGCTTTGCTGATCACTGTCAGTCAAAGCGCCAGCATAAACAAACGCGGTAGTGAAAGTTGCGTTGCAGCTCACAACACGTAGAGTCGTATTAACAACCTCACACATGCTTCATCCATTATTTTCCTGGCAAAAGCATTTTGCCTATGTTATGTCCGCCGAATAAAGAATTTTCCCTTTCTGGTCGAACAAGCCGCAATATCACCGCTTTTTCAATGGTTGAACAGCCAACACAATCCTAACAGCATGCCCCCAACCATCAGTTAATGTCAACCTACCAAATGAAAAGTATGTGCTCGCACTGAGTACAGTAAACTTCACTGTTATAGTAACACTCTCACCTGGCTCTATCGAGAACGCATCCGGCGAAACACTCACGCGCACTCTCCTCGGTTCGACCACACTCACAAAATACATGGACCCATAATCAGCCACATTCGTAACCGTCCGTTTCACCGTCACGCTCCGTACCAACCGCGACACGGAAACCACCGGACGGTTGAGATCGCACGCGCGAATCTTCCGCAAAACCGTGCCCTGAAACTGCTTCTTGGCCCGGGCATAACTCTGCCCCGCAAGGAAATTCACATAATCGCTCGCATTCGCATCAAACGTAAGTCCAGGGTCCATAATCCTCTCAGGACGCACATGCCCAGCTCCCATCTCCCACGGACTCGCATCGTTCCCGTAGTCATTCCTTATCGCCAGCCCGCGGTTACTGGTAACCGCCGCGGTGGTCATAATCGCAGACATAACCTGCGCCGGGGACCAATCAGGCCGCTGCTGCACGATGAGCGCTGCAACGCCCGCCACATGCGGCGTCGCCATGGACGTCCCGGACAGCAGCGCGAAGTAACCCGAGGAGGGGGTCATGGAGTGATCCGGTGGGGGGAATGCGGCCCACAGCTGCACGCCTGGTGCGATGATGTCGGGCTTGAGTATGTCGTTAGTGGGCTTGGGGGCCGTGGGCGCGGAGGTGAGGGGCACGAGGGGGCCGCAGGAGGAGGTGGGGGAGATGACGGGCGCCTCTGCTGGCGATCCAGGGAGTTCGAACGGGGTGACACGCGTGCTGGTGGGATGGCATGGGGGTTAGGTATGTGGCATGGGGTGGGGGGCGTGGGGCATGTAGGATGGGGTGTGGGGCATAGGGTGTGGGGCATAGGGTGTGGGGCGTGTGGGTATGCGGCAAGAGGCATATTGCATGTGGCGTGTGGCATGGGGCATGTGGCATGTAGCATGTGGCATGAGCATGTGGCATTTGGCATGGGGCATATGGCATGTAGCATGTGGCATGGGGCATGTGGCATGTGGAATGGGGCGTGTGGCATGGGGGATGTGGGTGGCATGTGGCATGTGGCATGTGGCATGTGGCATGGGGCATGTGGCATGTGGCATGTGGCATGGAGCATGGGGCACGTGGCATGTGGCATGTGGCATGTGGCACGTGGCATGGGGCATGTGGCATGTGGCATGTGGCATGTGGCACGTGGCATGGGGCATGGGGCATGGGGCATGTGGCATGTGGCATGTGGCATGGGGCATGTGGCATGGGGCATGTGGCATGGGGCATGTGGCATGTGGCATGTGGCATGTGGCATGGGGCATGTGGCATGTGGCATGGGGCATGGGGCATGTGGCATGGGGCATGGGGTATGGGGCATGGGGCATGGGGCATGTGGCATGTGGCATGGGGCATGGGGCATGGGGCACGGGGCATGTGGCATGTGGCATGTGGCATGGGGCATGTGGCATGTGGCATGGGGCATGGGGCATGGGGCATGGGGCATGGGGCATGGGGCATGCGGCATGGGGCATGGGGCATGGGGCATGGGGCATGGGGCATGGGGAGGAGAGAGGAGAGCAGCATCACAGGATGAGAGCTCACAGGGTGTATGGGCCTTACAAGACTTCAGAATGAGAACACAGGCATGATGGGGTGATGCTACGCTATTCACTCACACGAGATGCATGCTGCAGGGGAACAGAGAAAGTGCTACAGTGCTACGATGCAATGGCGGCAGGCAGCATGAATGCAAGAGCCAAACACAGTAACCAGCAGCTCAAGCCTCAGGAGCGGAACAGGCAAGAGGCAAGAGCAGAGCACGCAGAGGAGAGAGCAGGTCGTGCCTGCCACTTACAGGGATGGCACAGCACCACTGTTGACGGTCGAGGTGGCATTCGCATGCTCTGCCATAACCGCGTGCACAACAGCAGCACCATTGCCAGCAGCAGCAGCAGCAAAAGCTCGCGTGGCAAGTGTGGGCGGGTGAGCGGTGGCAGCAGCAGCAGCGGGGTCGTTCATGGCTGTGGCAGTGGTGGTATCATGGGTGTTGAGAACACTGTGGCACTGCCGTCTATGGCTGACACTCGACTGATGGAGCTGCAGCGTGCACAAGGGGGTGTATGGAAGAGAGAGGGAGGAGTGGGGAGTGGGAGGGTGGGGGAGTGGGGGAGAGGGGTAAGGAGGGGGGTTAAGAAGGGGGGCGTAAAGGGAGAGGACGGGGGAGCGGGGAAGAGGAGAAGGGAGGGGATGGTGCAGATGGTGGGGTTGGAAGATGGAAGAAAGATACACGGGCGGCGGATGGGAGAAGTATCGATACTAGGAGGGAGAGAAAGAGAAGAGAGACGAGAGTCGTGGCTCTTGACTCTTGGGAGGGTTGAGTGTGGAGTGGATGGAAGGCAGTGCTGCTTGTACTGACGCATACAGTTCGGGGGGAACACAGAGACGCACACACTTTGAGCATACGGGGCAGGAGGGCAGCAGGCTTTGGAACCCGAAGAATAGATGCACTTGCGATTGCAATTGCAATTGCATCTTTTCTTGAAACACATGCAATTGCTATTGGCTGTCTATCGAGTCGACTTAAGAGGAACAGATGCTATTGCGATCAGTGGCAGGTGTGGGGATGTGTGGATGTGGTAGCAGTGAGCTGAGAGAGAGAAAGGTGGCAGGTCACTGCTTGCTACCACAAGAGGAGAGGCGAGGACGCAAGGAATAACAGAAACAGCAGGAGAAAGGTGAATGCAGAAAATTAAAGTGTGAGAATGAGAGGGAGACAGGTGGTAGGAAGGTAGGAGGAGGGGGAGGGGCGCACCTGGCTCCGACGGTGAGGTACCACGGCGAGAAGTTGGAGAGAGAGCGGTATGACGAGGGCTTGCCTCGAGGGGCTTTTGAGGCACCTCAAAAGGAGGAAGGGGAAGGGGAGTGAGCGGCATACCTGGCTCCGACGGTGAGGTACCACGGCGAGAAGTTGCGGATAGTGCGGTATGACGAGGGCTTGCCTCGAGGGGCCCCGCTGTTGCCCGCTGCAAATACCGTCACCACTCCCGCCTGCCTCGTGGTGCGTGCGAGACGCGTGGGGTTGTTGCGAAAGCACAAGAGAGGGACACGGAGGCGAGAGGTGAGGTGCAGGAGGAGGGGCGGAGGAGAGAGTGAGGAGGGGGGCAGGAGGCTGTGGGATGGGGGATGAGGGGAAGAGAGAAGACGGCCTGGTTGCAAGATGTTCACACAGCAGCACAGCACAGCATGTACCTACCCCCACCCACCCAGGTCCACCACAGGCCTTCATACACTATCCAGCACAGCAGCAGTTCACACAGCCGCATCAATCACATCACATCAGCACTTGTTCACACAGCACAGCTTCTGAGGCGTCTCAAATGTCACAGCAGCATAGCATGTATCACAGCAGCATGTATCACAGCAGCACTTGTTGATATAGCACAGCTGCACTGCACTGGCAGCACGGCATGTAACTTGTAAGCAACGGGCATGTGGCGTGGCGGCAACAATGAACGTGAACGAGACTTCTCCTTCCTTTAAAGGAGCCATAACGTCACAGTCACAGGCGAGAAGAGAGCGAGGGGCCGCGCCGCGCCGCACCGCACAAGCCCTCACAGCCCTCACAGCCCTCACAGCCTCTCTTCTCCCTCCCATCTCCCAGAAATTTGTGAACCCCCCAGTGCCATGACCCCCCTCTTCCTGCCCCATCCCTGCCCCATCCGTGCACCATCCCTGCTCCGTCCCCACCCTGCCCCCACCCTTGGCCCACCCATCCTACCCCACAACCCATTACCCCCTCCTTCCACTGACCGAGAGCGCGTTGAGGAACACAAACACAAGGCTCAAGGCTGCCCAGCGCATTATGGGAGCACATTCGGGACGCCTCCAGGCTGCCCAGCGCATTATGGGAGCACATTCGGGACGCCTCAAGGCTGCCCAGCGCATTATGGGAGCACATTCGGGACGCCTCCAGGCTGCCCAGCGCATTATGGGAGCACATTCGGGACGCCTCCAGGCTGCCCAGCGCATTATGGGAGCACATTCGGGACGCCTCCAGGCTGCCCAGCGCATTATGGGAGCACATTCGGGACGCCTCCAGGCTGCCCAGCGCATTATGGGAGCACATTCGGGACGCCTCCAGGCTGCCCAGCGCATTATGGGAGCACATTCGGGACGCCTCCAGGCTGCCCAGCGCATTATGGGAGCACATTCGGGACGCCTCCAGGCTGCCCAGCGCATTATGGGAGCACATTCGGGACGCCTCCAGGCTGCCCAGCGCATTATGGGAGCACATTCGGGACGCCTCCAGGCTGCCCAGCGCATTATGGGAGCACATTCGGGACGCCTCCAGGCTGCCCAGCGCATTATGGGAGCACATTCGGGACGCCTCCAGGCTGCCCAGCGCATTATGGGAGCACATTCGGGACGCCTCCAGGCTGCCCAGCGCATTATGGGAGCACATTCGGGACGCCTCCAGGCTGCCCAGCGCATTATGGGAGCACATTCGGGACGCCTCCAGGCTGCCCAGCGCATTATGGGAGCACATTCGGGACGCCTCCAGGCTGCCCAGCGCATTATGGGAGCACATTCGGGACGCCTCCAGGCTGCCCAGCGCATTATGGGAGCACATTCGGGACGCCTCCAGGCTGCCCAGCGCATTATGGGAGCACATTCGGGACGCCTCCAGGCTGCCCAGCGCATTATGGGAGCACATTCGGGACGCCTCCAGGCTGCCCAGCGCATTATGGGAGCACATTCGGGACGCCTCCAGGCTGCCCAGCGCATTATGGGAGCACATTCGGGACGCCTCCAGGCTGCCCAGCGCATTATGGGAGCACATTCGGGACGCCTCCAGGCTGCCCAGCGCATTATGGGAGCACATTCGGGACGCCTCCAGGCTGCCCAGCGCATTATGGGAGCACATTCGGGACGCCTCCAGGCTGCCCAGCGCATTATGGGAGCACATTCGGGACGCCTCCAGGCTGCCCAGCGCATTATGGGAGCACATTCGGGACGCCTCCAGGCTGCCCAGCGCATTATGGGAGCACATTCGGGACGCCTCCAGGCTGCCCAGCGCATTATGGGAGCACATTCGGGACGCCTCCAGGCTGCCCAGCGCATTATGGGAGCACATTCGGGACGCCTCCAGGCTGCCCAGCGCATTATGGGAGCACATTCGGGACGCCTCCAGGCTGCCCAGCGCATTATGGGAGCACATTCGGGACGCCTCCAGGCTGCCCAGCGCATTATGGGAGCACATTCGGGACGCCTCCAGGCTGCCCAGCGCATTATGGGAGCACATTCGGGACGCCTCCAGGCTGCCCAGCGCATTATGGGAGCACATTCGGGACGCCTCCAGGCTGCCCAGCGCATTATGGGAGCACATTCGGGACGCCTCCAGGCTGCCCAGCGCATTATGGGAGCACATTCGGGACGCCTCCAGGCTGCCCAGCGCATTATGGGAGCACATTCGGGACGCCTCCAGGCTGCCCAGCGCATTATGGGAGCACATTCGGGACGCCTCCAGGCTGCCCAGCGCATTATGGGAGCACATTCGGGACGCCTCCAGGCTGCCCAGCGCATTATGGGAGCACATTCGGGACGCCTCCAGGCTGCCCAGCGCATTATGGGAGCACATTCGGGACGCCTCCAGGCTGCCCAGCGCATTATGGGAGCACATTCGGGACGCCTCCAGGCTGCCCAGCGCATTATGGGAGCACATTCGGGACGCCTCCAGGCTGCCCAGCGCATTATGGGAGCACATTCGGGACGCCTCCAGGCTGCCCAGCGCATTATGGGAGCACATTCGGGACGCCTCCAGGCTGCCCAGCGCATTATGGGAGCACATTCGGGACGCCTCCAGGCTGCCCAGCGCATTATGGGAGCACATTCGGGACGCCTCCAGGCTGCCCAGCGCATTATGGGAGCACATTCGGGACGCCTCCAGGCTGCCCAGCGCATTATGGGAGCACATTCGGGACGCCTCCAGGCTGCCCAGCGCATTATGGGAGCACATTCGGGACGCCTCAAGGCTGCCCAGCGCATTATGGGAGCACATTCGGGACGCCTCCAGGCTGCCCAGCGCATTATGGGAGCACATTCGGGACGCCTCCAGGCTGCCCAGCGCATTATGGGAGCACATTCGGGACGCCTCCAGGCTGCCCAGCGCATTATGGGAGCACATTCGGGACGCCTCCAGGCTGCCCAGCGCATTATGGGAGCACATTCGGGACGCCTCCAGGCTGCCCAGCGCATTATGGGAGCACATTCGGGACGCCTCCAGGCTGCCCAGCGCATTATGGGAGCACATTCGGGACGCCTCCAGGCTGCCCAGCGCATTATGGGAGCACATTCGGGACGCCTCCAGGCTGCCCAGCGCATTATGGGAGCACATTCGGGACGCCTCCAGGCTGCCCAGCGCATTATGGGAGCACATTCGGGACGCCTCCAGGCTGCCCAGCGCATTATGGGAGCACATTCGGGACGCCTCCAGGCTGCCCAGCGCATTATGGGAGCACATTCGGGACGCCTCAAGGCTGCCCAGCGCATTATGGGAGCACATTCGGGACGCCTCCAGGCTGCCCAGCGCATTATGGGAGCACATTCGGGACGCCTCCAGGCTGCCCAGCGCATTATGGGAGCACATTCGGGACGCCTCCAGGCTGCCCAGCGCATTATGGGAGCACATTCGGGACGCCTCCAGGCTGCCCAGCGCATTATGGGAGCACATTCGGGACGCCTCCAGGCTGCCCAGCGCATTATGGGAGCACATTCGGGACGCCTCCAGGCTGCCCAGCGCATTATGGGAGCACATTCGGGACGCCTCAAGGCTGCCCAGCGCATTATGGGAGCACATTCGGGACGCCTCCAGGCTGCCCAGCGCATTATGGGAGCACATTCGGGACGCCTCCAGGCTGCCCAGCGCATTATGGGAGCACATTCGGGACGCCTCCAGGCTGCCCAGCGCATTATGGGAGCACATTCGGGACGCCTCCAGGCTGCCCAGCGCATTATGGGAGCACATTCGGGACGCCTCCAGGCTGCCCAGCGCATTATGGGAGCACATTCGGGACGCCTCCAGGCTGCCCAGCGCATTATGGGAGCACATTCGGGACGCCTCCAGGCTGCCCAGCGCATTATGGGAGCACATTCGGGACGCCTCCAGGCTGCCCAGCGCATTATGGGAGCACATTCGGGACGCCTCCAGGCTGCCCAGCGCATTATGGGAGCACATTCGGGACGCCTCCAGGCTGCCCAGCGCATTATGGGAGCACATTCGGGACGCCTCCAGGCTGCCCAGCGCATTATGGGAGCACATTCGGGACGCCTCCAGGCTGCCCAGCGCATTATGGGAGCACATTCGGGACGCCTCCAGGCTGCCCAGCGCATTATGGGAGCACATTCGGGACGCCTCCAGGCTGCCCAGCGCATTATGGGAGCACATTCGGGACGCCTCCAGGCTGCCCAGCGCATTATGGGAGCACATTCGGGACGCCTCCAGGCTGCCCAGCGCATTATGGGAGCACATTCGGGACGCCTCCAGGCTGCCCAGCGCATTATGGGAGCACATTCGGGACGCCTCCAGGCTGCCCAGCGCATTATGGGAGCACATTCGGGACGCCTCCAGGCTGCCCAGCGCATTATGGGAGCACATTCGGGACGCCTCCAGGCTGCCCAGCGCATTATGGGAGCACATTCGGGACGCCTCCAGGCTGCCCAGCGCATTATGGGAGCACATTCGGGACGCCTCCAGGCTGCCCAGCGCATTATGGGAGCACATTCGGGACGCCTCCAGGCTGCCCAGCGCATTATGGGAGCACATTCGGGACGCCTCCAGGCTGCCCAGCGCATTATGGGAGCACATTCGGGACGCCTCCAGGCTGCCCAGCGCATTATGGGAGCACATTCGGGACGCCTCCAGGCTGCCCAGCGCATTATGGGAGCACATTCGGGACGCCTCCAGGCTGCCCAGCGCATTATGGGAGCACATTCGGGACGCCTCCAGGCTGCCCAGCGCATTATGGGAGCACATTCGGGACGCCTCCAGGCTGC